TGGTCAGTGCAGAACGAATGGTTTCAGGCAGCTTCATACCTAATGAATATGAAAATCTGCATAATCATGAGCTGATTGAAGTTCTTTGTAACCGTCGTGAGCTGTGAAGATAGATGAAAGCGAAAGAAGTGGAAAATCTGTCAGTATCAAGTAATACCAATCAGCCAATCAAATGTGTCAATGTGACCATGGTAAGCAAATAAATCTTTGAATGAAATGGAACAGAAGGAGTACAACTCTGAGCAGTACACTTCAAAGAAAGGTTCAACTGGCTTATAGTTGCAGCACAATTGCCTCTGATTAGTACACTTAAATCTCTGTAGCGTTTATGTTAGCTAGAATAACTACGGTAATGGCCATTTTATGAAAGTCCAAGTTAATGCTAATGGACTCTTCAATTTTCTATGAAAATTGAACAATATCCTACTCAGGATCACCTTTATTAGTATAGCAACGAAGAACTTGAGTTCCTTAGCCATTTGTACACTAGGTAGACCTCTGAAGCAAGAACAACAATGATATGGATTGAAGTGGTTGGAATGATTACGGTGATAACAAATACGGCAACACAGACAAAGACAAATGGTTTGGTATTTGTGCGTTTACGTAATCTTTGTCTCTTTGAAGTGTCCGGCTATCAGTTAAAGAATGCTTCACAGATATAAGATATGATATTAAAGCAAGAGATATTGAAAGAATACACATTTCAAATCATTTATATTGTAGGCGAAATTAAGATTAAACTTAGAGTATTAGGTAAAAAAATCAGTTCAATAAACGGAGATATGAATCTTCATCAACCAATCTGCTGGGAACAAGTGTTATGTATGTTGAGCCACCTTCTTTCTAGATGATCAGTGTTGGCTGAAATAAGGTTAATTTAAGAAAAAAAGTGAAAACACAGGTTCATTCCATGAAGCGTTTTACCACTGGTTTCATGTGTAAGTTGTTTGTATAGGGTAGTCGAAATGTTGCACACCAATGGCTGTAGAGTTGACGAAATGATTGGAAATTGTTCACAATCAGGCGGATATATTAATCTTTTATAACCTCCAAATTCTGAACATTTTCACTGGTTTCCGGTCATTTCCTATTTTTCTTTTCGTACTCATGTTCGACTACTATGGAGTTATATCTATGTTTATTCTCTACTTTATGTTAAGTGCTCTGAAGTGTCACAACTTGGATCTTTGCATTTCTGTTTATAAGTCTGTCTGTTTCTATTTTGCAGGTATTCGTGTTGACTGAATATATTACTAATTTATGGGTGCTTCTCTCACATACTTTTAGTCGAAAACTAATTACAAGCTAGATGTACATCTATCGTAGGCTGAATACCATAATAATTACGAAGAAGTCCTTCACCTTAGTGTTAAGTCATTGATAATTACTGTGTACTGAATGTAGTTCACTTCTGAAAATCATTTTTGAAACTCCCAAATACATTAAATTACCTTGCATATACATATAAACAAATAATTGTTTCCAACAGCCATTAGATTGATTCCATATGTTAGGAAATAAAATAATCAAATGAGTGACTGCTTAGAATAAGTTAAAGAAATCTTTGCTTATTAAATAACGTTTTGTTCATTTAAACGACTAATGAAGAAGTGATTAGTTCGTAAGAAATTTATTAGTACAAATATACACATAATGGGAAACAATTGTACTAAACAGAGCTACTTCATATTAAATCGAAAATGTTTACTATTGTACTCTAACAGCCGTCAGCAGAATTTAATGTCATAAAACTGGAAGTTATTAGTATAAACTTCAAACTATAATTAATTCATGATATGGCATGGCTACAACTCAGTCTTTTTTTCTCCTTCACGTTCCCCAGTGGAACATAGGGCTTCAAGCTAGTGGCTTGAAGTTTCTGTAGCAGTGATTATTTTACAGAATGGGGTTGCTAGCCTCATGCCCAACCTTTCCTCTTCACCAGTATTATTTCTGGCTTAGCGAGGTAAAGGAATGCGTCGGCCGGGGAGAGTAACCGCCATGCCACGACGCACTACAACTCAGTCTACTTAGTTGAAATCTGTCGTCGTATTTAATCTAAAGGTAGATTGAGTCACAAAAAGACAACGAAAGTAAGGGAGCACTTACAATAATCCTGTAACTAACATTGATTTGTTAAGTAATCCACCTTGAAGTCAATCAAACTGCTATAGTCTTAAAACTTTAGCTAAAAGTTTCGTTTAATTCCGGTTAAAAATTCAGTTAATAAAACAGTTTGAGAAGATTTACACACACTACGCAGCTTATATTAATAACTAACTTTCTTCTGAGTGTCATGTATGTATATTTCTTATTCATATTAATTGTGAGGTACCTTTAAATTGAAGTGCAGGCTTTCAAAGCATTTCTATGTCAGGTGATTGAGTTTCTCTTCATAAATTATTGACGATAATATCTGGCGATATAACTTCCGGGAAAAATGGTGTTGACAGTTCAGTGTATTCTAAAATGTGTCGTCATCTTATGTTTGGTGTTAACTTTTTTAAAACATTAATATTAAACTAATATCAGCTACAGGGACACTGAACCAACTTCATACACTTGCTCAAGATTCCTCAGATATCCGTATCCAACACTCTATGAACGACTGGGCTCAACAATGTTAGACCACGAAACAAGTGCGTTGGCAGTCTGCCAACTGGGTTGGCACCAGATGAATAAACTTATTTAGTTTGCTCTTACCATCCAATACTACCAGTGAGCGATTGTCCAAGATCCTCCATAGTGTCGTGAGTATACACCACTAAGTAGTTTTAAACTAGGATGAGAATATCACTCGATACTCTTTGTTGTTTGGGGTTTCGCTGTGTTTAAATCTTGCTTGATCGTTTTCATCTGTTTACTTTACTGGGTTCATCATATTATCCTGTATAGGTACATTTTTATTTTTAGCAGTTAGTCAACATTACCATGAAATTTCAATCCGCTTCTACTTATTTCTTACCGTTTAGCAGCAAGATAATAAGATACACCCTTGATTTTACTCAGGTGTCTTAAAGTGGAAATGCTTCCATTTAACTAACACTGTAGATAACAAGTCGATATTTAGATTGACGAATGCTGCTACTGAATCTAACCGGGGGAGTATTATAACTCTCTGAGATTCAGGTATACCAAGCTGACAAGTTTATGCTACAACAAACGCATAACTTGAATACACTGGTAGTTAAAACGAAGAAAATTATTATTATTGCATTTAAACGATGTCTTCATTTATCATTATTATTATTGTTCCCTTGGGTTCCGAGTGGAACATAGGGCTTCAACAACACATCTCCACTTTCTTCTATTTTTTACTGTCCTCTTTATCTGGGCCACAATTGTCCATAATCTCTCATCTCCTCCTCTCATGATCTCATCTGCGTCACCCTAGGACGACCCACTCGTCGCTTCCCATTGGGATTCCACTCGAGTGATGTCCTACATTGAGCGCGATGTCATTTGACGACCTCCGCAGAGTATGCCCGATAAATCTCCATTTTTTCCTACATATCTGATGAGTAATGGGCTCTTGGTTGGTTTGTTCCCATACAGAGTTTCTTGTTACTAATTCTTTCTGGCCATTTGATCTTTAGTGTGGAGCGAAGACAGCTGTTGATGAAAGTCTGCAACAGACTGTTGGAAATCCTTTTCGTGACACCCGTATAGAAGGACAGACTTGACATTGGTGGTTTCAGATTGATGAAGGCGTATTAAGATGCCATAAAAATGGTGTAGACACCTGTGTTTTGTTGTGTCTTTCCAATCGACGTAGTAATTTCCAACATTTTAACTGATCACTGGTGCACATTATCCATTTCAAAAGACTGACTAGCAAACAAAGAATATTCTTTTTATAATAACTTAATACTGTATATTACATCTTAACTTGGAATAGCTATCCAAAAAAGTTCATAAGGAAAGTAAGTCGAAAAGAAATATTCTGTGTCTGTAAATAAAAAGCCTCTTTGTATGAGACTGAAATTTAGAGGTCACATACCAAGTGAAATGATAACCAACAAACTAAGAAAACCGATTCAAAGAACTTTTTAATACCAGCAAGCCACAGTTCCTATTTTCTTCACTCCTGTTGTAATTCTTCAGCTGAAAGACTAAGTATTTTGACTAGTCGCCTCTTCTTTTATCTATCAATGCACTTATTCTTGTGAAGTCAGTCATATTAACTGTTGCTCTAGGAACTTGACTTTTAGTGCTCGGGAACACCTACCAGTGTGGCTAAAAAAGGTGTGATTAGAATCAATAACAGTTCGATACTAAAGCGCTTGCTCCATTCACTTAACAAAGCCAAAATTTACAAAATTCTTACTATCATCTTTTGTGTACGGAATAAACTGCCAAAGTCCTTTAGATATTCAATGATCCAAACACCAGAATTCATAGAAATTCGCGTGAAACAACCAGAATTCTACGTACAAAAGAAACAGGTCCAGCTACTATTGCTACCCTGGCGTGATGTAGAATCTATAAATTAGAAAATTCTGGATTATTTTGCCCTAATTTATCTGATATTAAGTTTAGTGTCATATTCATACATACATGTGTTACACTGTAGTCTGTCGATCGTATTGATTCGATATTACTTAACACGCTGATGTTGTCAATAACAATAATCCTTCACTATTTTTTTATTCCTTCACGTTCCCCAGTGGAACATAGGGCTTCAAGCTAGAGGCTTGAAATTTCTGTAGCAGTGTTTATTTTTACAGGATGGGGTTGCTAGCCCCATGCCCAACCTTTCCTCTTCACCAGCATTATTTCTGGCTTAGCGAGGTAAAGGAGTGCGTCGGCCGGGGATCGAACCCCGAACCATGTGCATGGTCGACGAGCGTCCTAACCGCTATGCCACCGACGCACTTAATCCTTCACTATAGATATATATAATTAGTCTTCTGAATTAGTAGTTTGTATTCATTGTATGCGAACAGAGTATACAAGCATATATGTAGACAACAAAAAGAGGTTAGTTCACTACTTACTTTTATTCCGAAAGGTGATTTCTCCATAGAAACTTTATACTGAATATTTTTTATTGGCAGTTTTTCTGGTTTTCCCAGTGGTATATATGGTTCCCATCTATTTGGTTGCGATGGTATTGTAAATCGTAGCCGTAGTCTAGTCGATGTTTCTTGTCTTACTTCAAATGAAATATTTTTCACTTCATCCCAATAATACTTTGGATTAGGCTTATTCAACTGGGCAATGAAACCACGTTCCGTTTTTTTAACTGCATAGACATTATAAGTTGGATAGGATTTTGGAAAATAACACATTGGCATTGTTTCATCATTATCACCAGTCACAGCACTTTTTGATTGCCAACAACATCCTCTTGACTTACAATCACCATAACTTGAATGTTGTTCAGGATTACAGTCAATACGTTCAATGTTTGTATCATATTCACACTGGTCTGTTGTGTCTAAAGAAAACTCGCCTCTTGACAGTACGATTGTCTCAGTTAAAATTAATAAAGTTAAACAGGCTGTTAACATTTTGTTCAACAATTTACCGTGCTTGTTTTGTTTAAATGAATTACAGAAATAGATATTCCGTTTTTAAAAAAAAAAACATATCATAACCCATAACACTATCAGTATTGTATGACCTTATATATAGTTTAATTTTGTTGTTTTTTTAAAAACTTTGAATAAAACAATCTCCTGTTAAACATGTAGCCTAATTGTGCATGTTTTGCTTTGTTTCATGACTAATTCCTTTCATTTCATCCATTCATGAGTAGAGTTGTGTAGATTGTGAGGTCAGTTATCTGATTTGTTGGAATATTAATATATCAATTGCTAACTAATGTGTTATTTAGTGTCACAGTGTTATATGAATTAGAGATATTTTGTGATAAGAGGAGAGACAGCAATAATAATAGAAATGAAAATAACTATGTTACGTAATGGAGTTCAGGTTTCCAGCACAGATAATTTATGGATTAGTCTAAGAGTCGTGTTCTATCGTATTTTTCAAGAGTTCGCTATTAGGGATTTGACGTGTTTCAAGTCTGACCACACATTGATATCGGTTAGAGAACCACTGAAAACTTAGGAGTACCGGACAGCCGTCTTGTCCTAGTTTCGAATTCATGGGGAGCATGAACCCACCGGGGTTCCAACCCAGGACCTTCCGGTTGCAAGGCGAACTTGTAGACCATTCAGCTGCTGGGATCTGACTCAGTAGCCCATGAATTCTAACTTCTAAGAATTCCTGTTTTTAACGCGACTGGTAGTAGCCAATGTCATCGGCAAGTATTTGTCCCCACTCGCTACCGAGTGAACCCCTCGGTCACTAGCTCTCACTAGAATCCCAGGAAACGTCTTCCAGTACTCCATGTTTTTCAGTGGTTCTCTAAATGATATCAATCCGCGGTGAAACTTCTGTCCTATTATCCGGCTATATAAGTAAAAGTAGATGGTATAGAATTCGAAGCCTGAGCTAGGTAACTGAAAGTCAAATGATTTTGCTTATGAAATGAACAAAAACCGAAGATAATTCTAAATTTGAAGGCTGAAATTTCCCGTGTAACTTCAATCATTACCGTATTATACCAGTCTGTCAAGCTACGATTATTCATGGTAATCTCATTAAGGACGTTAAACAGAAGTCTACGTAATCGATGTTTATGTTTTTTTTAGACTTTTATTTCTTTCATGATGACAACAATAAATATGATTTGTTGAAACAGCTGACAAAATTTAGTGTATTTACAAAAAAGTCAAAACAAACTTCTAAGCTGAAATGTGTACATATCATCATAGTAGAATTAGAATGTAATGGATCACTTATATTTATAAAGTTTGAAGTAGAGATATAGCAATCATAAGAGTTTCTGCTACTTCACTTTTCATTTCTGTTGAACATATCACAACAAAAAATAAGTCTAGTTAGTGTATCACATGTAGCGATGTGTGATCAATGTTTACTATAAACAGTTTCATGAGAGGATATTCTCGATTTCATAATAAGAAAGAACATACAATTTATGTCTGATTCAATCACCAGTTTCTTTTTGAAACATAAAGCTTTAAAAATTAAAACAGAGCTGATGAAAGTATCCCCGACTTCCTATTATGTAAAATACGATTGCTACAACACTAAAAGCGTCGGTGGTACAGCGGTAGAGTGTTTGCCAACCACGCAGGTGGTCCGGGGTCCGATTCTTAGCCACTGACGCACTCCTTTACCTCGCTAAGCCAGTAATAAGACTGGTAAGGAGGGAAGGTTGGACATGAGGCTAGCAACCGAATCTCGTAGAAATAAACATCACTACTACTGAGACTTCAAAGCCCTAGCTTGAAGCTCTATGTCCCACTGGGAACATAAAGGAATAAAAAAACAATACTAAATGGCGGTTGTGTTAACTAGAGATTAAGCTGAATAGACATTCTGCATGTTAGAGTCATACTCAATTACCTTTCACGCTTTAAGATGTGAACAAACTTATCGTAAACCATGAGATTTCTGCCTACCTAATTAAGTTATACAATATGACAAACACCTGAAATTCTTCACACTTTGGAATCTACTGCACTGAGTATAAGGAAAAGGATTCGGATTTCCAATACTAACATCAAATCAGTCCTTTAGAATGCTTCAGAGTACTGGCATTCTTGTCATCTAAAGCATTTTCAACAGGCTTCATAAGCAGATACCTTTGTTTGCTCTATATTGAAGACCAGATGTCCAGAATAAATAAGCAACACGGAACTTTGGTAACGAGCTAACCAAGAATCTATCGCCCAACAAATATGCCGAAGGAAATGGAGACGCATTGGACACACATTGGGTGATATGGTACGCCAGACCCTCAAGTGGAAACCGAATGAGATGTGATGAGTTGGGTGTGGGTGTGGGGATGACATGGAGGGGACGGTGTGTAGAGGAAATGATAACTTATGAACAAAGCTAGAGTCAGCTAGATAAGACTGCGGAGGACATAGTGAACTGGTTATATGCTTCTGAAGCCCTATGTTCTTCTCGGAATCTAAGAAACGAATAATTATAACAACTACATTTTGACGTCATTCATTTGATGGTGGGACTGGTCAGCTGCGTCTATTTGTACTCCACTGAGTGACAGTATTCCCAGTAAACTTCAAATCCAGAATTAATTTATATGTAGACTAAAGGGTCGTCTACTAGGCTATTGATAATCCAGAGTCAACAGTTATTATTCGTTTATATGTGTTTCGTTTGATTCCGCTGGACTTAAGATATCGCTCTACGCCTATATGTTAATTATTGGGATTCTGTCTCAATACAGACAGTAAGTACTACTCACTAAGATTTGGACACTTTGCTTGCAAGTTTCCGAAAGAAGTGGTAGCTTATTTACAATTCCATCAGATAAAGACACTAAAATGAAGCTCAAGACAATACTGAAAGTAGATGACAGGAGAAATAAATCATTCCTTTCATGTAAAACAAAGTTGACAAAGGAAATTTGAAAAACAAACACATAACTGAAATTAAAGTCATTAAGTGATAATGAAAAGCTTGAAAATATCAACAGCTGAGATGAGTTAATTGAAACTTTTTGTTACTTATTAGTAAAGTGTCAATCTATTTTAGATTGGGAATCATAATTTGAAAAAAACCCGAATTACTCAGCAAATCTTAAATTTATCGGTGATGGATAAATGAACAGTTAAAACGCTTTTCTAAAGACGAAAATAACCGTCTGTCTTAAACGTTTACATTTTTTCCCAAATATCTACGACACAAAATATCTAACTGTGATAATTACAAACTACTGCTGTATGAGAGAATATATTTTGTACTGTAAATTTAATACCAGAAACATTTATTATAAATAGTAGAAGTAAAATTTCCAGGAAGGCTTTTAAATTGACATTTAAAGTACCTAATAATAAATTGATCTTTTTACGAGTTGATCACGGATTGATATCAGTTAGAGAACCATTGAAAACCAGGGAGTACTGGACAGCTGTTTCATCCTAATTTGGGAATCATCGGTAGTACGCACCCATCACCGGGGTTCGAACCCAGGACCTTCCGGTTACAAGGCAAGCTCGTATACCATTCAGCCACTGGGACCCGATTCAATGGCCAGTGCATGAATTCTAACTTCTACCAATTCGTGATTTAGCGCGACACCAATCAACCAACATAACTAACCCTTACAAACCAAACTATAGAAAATTATTCTGATGCTCGCTAGTGACTTGCTACAGGTTGGAGCTTCCTGGAGTTCCAGTGAGAAGTCGTGACCAGTGAGGTCCAATTAGAAGTCACGTGTGTGGATGGATGTCCCACCAACGACAATAGTTGGGGTCGCGCTAAATCACGAATTGGTAGAAGTTAGAATTCATGGGCTGGCCATTGAATCGGGTCCCAGTGGCTGAATGGTATACGAGCTTGCCTTGTAACCGGAAGGCCCTGGTTTCGAACCCCGGTGATGGGTGCGTACTCCCGATGATTCCCAAACTAGGATGAAACAGCTGTCCAGTACTCCCTGGTTTTCAATGGTTCTCTAACTGATATCAATCTGTGATCAACTCATAAAAACAAAACTAACCTTTACAAACCAAACTATAGAAAATAAATTGATCTTTTGGTTGCCTTAATATCCCAGTTCTGGCAAACACAGCTAAACAGTATCTAACAGATTTTGTTTGAATTATGCAACAATACACTCCCATCAAGGCAATACTTCTTCTGTTATTTATTGAGTGCAATTAAGCATTTCATAAAATTTATCAGTAATCTGATTAATCTTAAATGCTTTTAAGATGTATACAGGTTTGCTTTTATGCTTGTACATAGCTCTTTAATGCACGTTTTAATGCACTTTTCTACATAGTTGTTTAATAGAAACAATTTCTAGATAGTAGTATAAAGTATAAGTTGTTTAGTTATTTTTATACATGTATAGAATACTTAAATTTCATATTTCAAGTATGTCGACAATCATTTGACTACTGATAATGTCTAGTATGTTCTTGAATTGAAGGTGATGAAATTCATTCACACCAGAGTTTGTTGATTTGCAGGGATTTAATTGTTTTCAAGTTGAATTACTAACTGACATTAGTTAGGGAACTGTTGAAAACCATGGAGTACGCAGACATGATCCCTCTGAGGGATAGAACCCAGAAACTTGAGGAGTTAGAATTCCATCCCAGTAGCTGAATGATCAACGGGCTGGCTTCGTAACCTTAAGGCCCTGTGTCCGACATTTATAACGATTCACAAACTAGAAAGAAACGGCTGTACTTCCTGGTTTTCAGTGGCTTGCTAACCTACTTCATCTGGTGATCTAACTTAAACCAGAACTGTCTGTAGTTACGATCGTTTTTGGTCTTTGAAATTGTTAAAGGTTGTCAAAACTGGCATAGAGTGACGATTCGATGTTTGGTACTAAGAATTAATCATCAAGAAAGCCTAATTCACCTTGTTTTCTGTCTGAGGACACTGATTAGTAAGGCAAATTTGCAAAGCTGTGAAAATCTATGTACCATTCAGA